CCTTAGTCTGTTGTAGGATTACAAAGATGACACGATGACTCATGGACAGATAATTCTGAGCTCCAATAAAATTAATAATTAATTAAACTCTTTAGTTAACTAATTAATTCTAAAAGTTACTCCATATAAACTTGGAATTGCACTCTCGTAATTATAGACATAAATTACTTCTAAATTGTGTAAGTATCCATTTGATATAGTAATTATATATAGGTCAATCTTCCATAAATAACTCATAATTAGAGTTAGGTGAAATCCGTTAACCTCTCTAATTACATCTTTATCCTTGAGTATCATTGATTCTCTAATGGACAGTGATTCATAAAATAAATTCATGAATCGAAGCTCCTACTAATCTAAGTACCGAATCAATCCTCAAAGAAATTATTTATATACTTTTTTCTTAAAAATGAATGGATTCTATCTTGTATAATAACAGTCTCGGCTACTCACTTCATCATGTCTCCAAAATACAAGGAATAGGATTCAACATCTCGGAATCCGTACTGAGTAAATCAAAAGAAATAAATCCACAAATGGGAGTCTGCTAATAACTCAGGATTAAGATCATTTTATATATGACCATAAGTATACTCAATTATAATTTCTATACTTAACAGAAATTATCAGAAATTCATATTATGCCTATGTCCACATTCCACATAATCTTATAATGTGTAATACACTTATTCAATATCTTTCTATATTAACAGTGCAGATAACATCGCTCCATTCTGAATGAGATTGACATATATTAGTAGTGTTTTAATTAAAGATTTTAAACTTTAATTAAATTCATTACGAACATCGTTTTGATTATTATCCTTAAATATCATGCTCTCGCATATAACACTTATATACAATATTTAAGGTCACATAAATAATCATAGAATTTTCAATTGTATTAATAACATATTCAATAATATATACACATAAAATAATGAATAAACTCTTTTATTAAATAAATAAATATCTTATTACATCTCACGCTTCTAGGACATCATTCCCAACAAGTGCAACTTTCCAAATTTATCTTACTAAGGAGTGAAACCCTCAATCCCTCTAAAATCTCCGAGAATTCAAGTAAAAAACGTTCAAAACTTTACTTATTTTGAGCTGCATTAGGTGGCTACATCAAAAATATTTCCCAACTAAGAACTTTAATAGGAAATCCCTTAACGAAACTAAGGAAGCTTATGGTTGCTTCATCCCTCACCCATAGCCTATAAATACCACCTCACTTACATCTCATCTTATCCCATCTCAGCCATCAACACTTCATTCCCACACTCCATGGTTTCCAGCGAAGTCCCTCTGGAAAAAAAGTCCCAGCGTTCTTCCCACTTAATACAACAAGGTTCCTAAATCCCTTTCTAACCCAAAAACAAGGCCAACCTCCATCCCCAGATATCAAGTTTAGAACAAAGTTCTCTTAAACTCCCCTTCTTCATGGTTTCTGGCTAAGTCCCACCAAGCAAGTAACTCTGGGTGTTTTACCCGTTTTTCCCACGGCGAAATCCACTCATAATATGATGGAAAGCTAAGTAATTAATCACTCACGACCACCAGATGAATTCAACCTTCAAAATTTCCGGCGGAGTTTCGCTAGAACATGTTTCTAGGTACTCTCCCCGTTTGAAGCAAGAAAGCCCCATAACCTTTCAAAATACTCCCACGTGCATTTCCAAGCCCAAAATGATATTACAAACAACCACAAAACACTTACTTTGGTTTGACTGATTTCTACCTCTAGTGACAAAGACTCCCCATCGGATGTGGAACACAGAAGGCTACTCCGACCAAACACTTCACAATTACTTGCCCAAGCTCATGGATACCTTTATATTGTTCACAAACCTAAGAAAGGCCTCATCCACAAACTGGTTACGTTCTTCTATCACACCATTTGGCTTACTTGGAGATCCTCCTCATGAAAGTGTTCAGGTTTACGGAGCCAGAATCACAACAGGTGTCCTCCTAAAAACTGCCTTCTTCGGGGTCACCCGGTTTAGTCCAACCTAGTCGGGGCTAACCTTGCTGTCTATGAAGACAATCCTTCTGGGCATGCTCAGGTTCGAAATCCACCGCGATGATTTGAAAGCCTCTATTTACTTTTATGTTAGGAGTTATCAAACGCATTACCATATCACACCTGACAACGAATCCACTTCGTCAAATTAGAAGAGACCATGAATAGTGCACCCTCCACGTCAGTGAGCCCGTCGCATTTGTTGTTTTTTTTAATCAATATGGCATTGGCATTCTAGTTAAAGTTGTTTTCCTATCAATCTCATTGGTCGTCAAATATAATTTGTCAGATTATGCTTTATAATCTACAAGATTATTTTTCTATTTTCAATAAAAAAAAAAATAGGTTATGTTCTGTTGGAAATTGTATCCTAAAAGCATGAGATGTAATAAATGATATTATTTATTTGATAAATGAGAAATTTCATTATTTATGTGCATGTATTATTAAATATTTCATGAATATCATTGAAAATTCTGTAATTATTTATGTAACCTTGAATATTGTATACAAAAGTTATATATGAGAGGATATTATTTATGGATAATAATCAAAATGTGTTGTAATGAATTTAATTAAAGTTTCAGAATCTTTAATTAAAACATTACTAATACATGGCATTCCCATTAAGAATGGAATGGTGTTATCTGCACTGCTAACATGAAGGTATATTGGATGAATAATGTGATTATGTGGAACTAGGACATAGACATGATTTGAATTTCTGATAATTTCTGTTGAGTATAGAAATTTGAATTGAGTCTACCGATGGTCATATATATGACGATTTTAATCCTGAGTTATTAGCATACTCCAATTTATGAATTTATGTCTTTTGACTTACTCAGTACGGATTTCGAAATTGCTAAATCCTTTTCCTTGTATCTTAGAGATATAATGAAGTGGGTAGCCGTGAATGTTAATATACGAGATGGAATCCATTCCTTCTTGATAAAGAAGCAGATAAATAATTCTCTTGAAGGTTTATTCGATATTTGGATTACTAGGAGGTTCGATTCGTGAATTTGTTTTATAAATCACTATTCATTAGATAATCAATGATATTTAAGGATAAAGATGTAATTAGAGAGGTTAATGAATTTCACCTTGCTTTAATTATCAATTATTTATGGAGGATTGATCTATATGTAATAATTATATCAAATGGATACTTTAAGTTCTTAGAAGTAAATTATGTCCATAATTTTAAAAATGAAATTCTAAATTTTTAGTGAAATAACTTTTGAAATTAATAGAATTAATTAATTAATTAAAGAGTTTAATTAATTAATTTTATTGGAGCTTAGAATTATAGGTCAATGAGTCCCCGAGTCATCCTCGTAATATGTACAAGACAATGTGAATTATTAGAATTTAATATCACTCGAAATAAAAAAGTGATTATTTAGTTAAATTAATTTTGAAACACACTGTGATAGGACCACAAGAGGCCACACACCCAAACCCATGGAGTTGTAGGGGGCATGTAGCACATGGAGAATTCCATTGAGATTCAGTTGCTTGGTCTCTAAGTTATCGGTTTACTTGTTTAACAAGTTTTCCAATCAAATTTAAAAGTAAATTAAAATTTGACTTTATTTTAGACAATAATCTGTTAAATTACTCCCACCACCAGCGACCGGAGACCCACCGTTGGTGAGATCTGTCAAATTACTTACTCCACAACAACACAACAACAATAACAACAAACTTTAATCCCATCTTAATTGGGATCGGCTATATGAATTTCATTTTTTTCCGTAACTCTGTTCGAATTAGACTGTCAAATTACTTACTTTAAAAAGACAAAATTCAATAGACTAATTTTGAGATCTAAATATCCTTAATAGTACCATTCTAAGGAGAATTTGTTAAAATTACCCATTTTCTAATATAAAATGCAGGCCAGGCCGATCCAGCTCACGCGAGCTACCGAGCCTAGCACCTACTCGTAAGGGATGGGCCGACCCAAGCCGAGAATAAAGCAGATCGGACCAGGCCATCTATTTGATTGCAAAGGCAATGGGGCCTGCTTTCACAGATTTAGGCCTTGTTTAGCAGGAAGAAAAAAATAGAACTAGAGATAGAAGTACTGAGAGGATTAGCAAAACATATTTTAAGACTTTGATTGGAGGAATTGAAAGAAAACTGAATTAGGGTAAAGGGATGTATATTCTCTGAAAATCCTGCTATGATGACGGTTTCTCACTCATCCAAATTGGAAAACAGCTACAGAGAAAATCACAATAAAAAAATGTTTTTAGTTTTAACAACTCTCTTGACACAGATTTAAAATGTCGTTTCAAATGTCAGCAATCATTTGTAACAGCCTTATTAACGTTCCTTATGTTTCAGATTTTTTTAATGCTCATTCGAATTAAAAGTTTAAGTTAAAAAGAGCGAGTGAAACAAACAAGCCTCACTGTGAAAATTCAATCAGACGCCAGCACTCTTTGGCTGAATTGATTTTTAATATTAAATATCTGTTTATTTAATCAATTTAAATTTTATTACAGTAAAAATTATTTAAAAACAGTTACATTTATTATAATAAATTTTTTTTATATAAAATCACATAAATCAGGGAACTAAATATAGCATAAATCTAAACATTTTAATTACCACAAAATTTCACTATATTTCCTACATATTAACCCTTGATTTAGGGCCCAAAAAAAACAAAAAACAAAAAACAAAAAAAAAGAGAAAAAAGAAAAAAGAGACTTGAACCGAGGACTCAAAACCCCATCTCATTTATCAATTTTTTTTAAAAAAAATTAAAATTTCTGTAAGAGAAATTTCAAGATATTTGCCACAACACGTACCAAATTCAGAAGTTTCAAAGATTACATATTTATCAATATATACTAGCCACAAATAACGTATTTCAAAAGTACAAAGAAAGCTTACAAGTTTGTTTTCAGTGACATTTTCACAAAAACCATAAATAAATAAAAAAAGACTCCAGCAGAAATAACACAGGAACTTCAATATACTAGCCACAAAATACATTTTCAAGAGTTAGAAAGAAAGCTTACAAATTTATTATTCATTGACGCATTTCAACAAACACTTAACAGGCAAACCACCAAATCACGCCTTCTTCTCCGACGGCTCATCCTTAGACGCCAGCTTCGACGCTTCTAGATCCGCAGCTTGCTTCAGGAAGCTAGGATCATCGTCCTCCAGAATCATCTGGATCGGCGACGACCCGAGCCCGTCGGCGATGGCGAGGAGGATGTTCCTTATCTCGGCGCGGAACTCGGCGGGGTCAACGGCGCCGCTGCGGTCGCCGTCGAAGGAGTCGAAGATGGTGTCGTAGAGGCGGGCGAGCTCGTCGTTTGGGGTGGCGACGTCGAGGCCGAAGTGGGTCTCGATCAGGCGCATCGACTGGAAGGCCGTGCGGAGCTCGGAGCGGGAGAGGACGCCGTCGTTGTTGAGGTCGAGAGAGGCGAATTGGGAGTCCACGCGCTTGTTGAACTCCTCCTCGTTGTTCGCGAAGTCCCGGACTGTTGTGCCGTCGATGATCACCACTCCCATGGCTGGCTGGTTCCTTTCTCTCTCTAAGTCTCTCTCTCTACTTTTTTTTTTCTTTTTTTCTTTTTGCTTTCTTGACCCTTTTCTTTTTTCAAAACTTTGGGCAGGAGGATTTTATGGCTGTTGTTGGTATTGTGAAGATATTTATGCTTGAAGGGTAAAATATTAAGAAATTATCCTCTTCGGAAATAGGAATTTTGCAAAGCTTCCAGAAGTGCAAAATTAAAAAACTAAAATAAACGATATTTATGTTGGTAAATAAGGATTATAAGTTGTATAAATACGACTCAAGCTCATTCATTCCGTAGATTTATTTGGTTTTGACGCATAATTTTTTAAGCAGTTCTGATTGTCATTCTTTAGGATTAGAAGTAGTTGCCTTGGGAGAAGACATTTGTAGATTTGTAGGGTTAAAAGAAGTTCAACCAATTATTATTTTGTAGAAGAAGAATTTAAAGCTTTTAAGAGAAAGTACACTGTCAGTCGAAGAAGAGAGTTAGCCGCATAATTTGAAGACGAGTAGTACTCAGTAAATAAGACTACTGAAAAGATTCCTCACAGCAACGTCATAATTCCAGAAAAATTATAATTTGAAGACGAGTAGTACTCAGTAAATAAGACTACTGAAAAGATTCTTCATAGCAACTTCATAATTCCAGAAAAATCATCGAGTGAATAAGTCCGATTGATGATTTCAAGCTCATTTATTATGTATATTTATTTGGTTTTGACGCATAATTTTTTAAGCAGTTCTAATTGTCATTCTTAAGGATTAGAAGTAGTTGCCTTTGGGAGAAGACATTTGTAGGGTTGAAAGGAGTTCAACCAATCATCGTTTTTTAGAAGAAGAATTTGAAACTTTCAAGAGAAAATACACTGTTAGCCGAAGGGAGTTCGCCGCACAGCTTTTAGACGAGTGGTGCTCGCTAAATAAGACCACTGAGAAGATTCCTCACAGCGGCGTTATGATCCTGGAAGGAGTCCTCGAGTGAATAAGTCCGATTGATGATTTTAAATCTTTGAGACTTAAGACGTTTGTTTTCTATATTCGTCACTGATTCTGAATCATGATTCATGGTTCTCTATAGTATTTTTCTTTCACAAAAAATACACGTAAAACGAGAATAATTTTGAATCATGATTCTGAATCTATGAACCAAATGTCCTCTGTAATTTGTTTAATGTCTGGGTGTGATCCCGCGAATGTAGATTTGCACACCGAAGCACAATATGAACTTCTAGTGTTCTTTACAGTCTATATTATTTTCTTACTTGGTTAACTTACGTTTCTGCATTAAAAATGCGTGATTAATCGTCAGTGTTTTATAAAACGTTACAACACTCTTTAAAATAGCTGCGTAAAAAATAGCTCTTTCAGATATCTTCAAAGATGTGTCGTTTTTGTTCAAGACAGGATGTGTCATACGTCTCATTAGCAAGAAACGGTTTTTGTTTTAAGTTGTGATTTGTATTTCGAAAAGAATACACTCACTTTTTGTAATTCGGCTATGAACCTTGTCGTGTATGTTCCAATTTTTACATAAATACATAAAATACATAAAATAAGGAGAAGAGAGAGAAAGGGTGAGTATATCTAATGAACTCGAAGATTTTCCTTCAGTAATGACTCATGTGTGATGCATATGCAAATCCCTGTAAAAATAAACGGAGTTATCAAATAAATCAAGAGCTTAAGTTCCAAAAAAACAAGAAATTTAGGACATTTATTTAAAAAAAAAAAAGGTGGAAAGACTACATAACGGCCGGTCGGATAATCTTCAATGGTCAAGTGCAACTAAAAAAGTAATTTCAACCAAAAAAAAAAAAAAAAAACCAGTCATTTACTAGAAAAGATGGCCAAAACTGAAAGGCATGACAACTTAAGAGGTTCTTTTTAATAAGCTTTGATCGTGCTCGATTGATTGTGCAGAACGGGTCTTTCTTCATGAGTATTGGCACCTGTATTTGTTCATATGCTTCATCCGCCTTCACTGACATATTCAATTAACATTTGCGGTCGAATTCTTTTATAGTTTATGACCATTTACGATTATTTATATAATTTGTTAATTTAGTAATGAAATGTTCTCTTAAAAAATTAAAATTCAAAAATTCATCTTATAACTTGGAAAATATCTCCATGAAACACAATTTTTGGGGTTAAAATTGAAGTAAGTCTACCAAATAATAGAGTAAATTCCTCTTTAACTGACTTGTCAAAGTTGATTTTGGAGTATTTTTTGCGATTTTATAAAATACATAGTATAGGTTTTCTATCTCTTTTTTCCTTTTATAAACATAGAAATAAAAGTATAATCAAGGTAAGATAAGGGAAAAGTTTATAAAATTTACCCTTTGAGAGGTTATTTTAGTTGGTCAAAAAAGAATTGGATGCGAGTTATGGTGGGCGAAAGCAGAGAATGGCACATAGAAATATGCCTACTCCTCTCTTGGTGTGAATGAATAATTTTTGAAGAATTTGGAGATATTTTTTGGGTAGAATTTGAAGAATCATTTGCTAATATGATGCTACTTGGCAGACAATGTCACTTTCCATTTCCATTTAATCCTTTCGTTGTGGTTGATGATTAATTGTAAATTTATTCTTGTCCTTGTGTTGAATCATTCTTCATCCACTTCGTAGTGCCGACGGTTTCTTTTCTCATTGGAGAACTTAAAAAAATAAAATAAAATAAGGAGTATTATCACTAGCGCCTCTGAATTTTAAGGTCATTTTTAGTTTACTTTCTAAACTTTAAAAATTCACACTTTGCCTCTTAAATTTTAAATTGTTCCTACTTAACATTTTTTATTATAATTTCTATTAAAATTGATAAAAAAAAGAGTAATGCAATCGCGTGATATTTCTATTTAAATTTATGTTAGAAACAAACATATAAAAACTACGTAGCAACACTTAAACTCTTTTTTTCCGTTTGATTTTAACAGAAATTATAACAAATGGGTTAAGTAAGAAAAATTTAACTTCATAAGACAAAATGAGAATTTTTAAAGTTTAGATAAATTATAATAATTTTAAAGTTCATGACACTAGTGTGATAATAATCCTAAAAAAGATTGTCTTTTTTTTTCTTGGCACGTGTAATAAATACATTGCCACGTGTTTTGAATGGAATTGTGACAAATGATATTTCAGAGCCGAGGAAGAG